GTTCTGGCCCTCTCCAGTTTGCTATTGAAACCTTCGTATTGACCCAAAAAAAAAAATATTGCTTCTACGTTCCAATAAGCGAATAGTTCCAACAACATCTAGAGTACCTTTGAAACTCTGCATACGCTTCACAAACCCTTCTTTAACTTCAAAATCATGAAGGTTTTATGAAAATGAATTAGCCTTCACAATATCTTTTATCTAATCAGTGAAATTTGTAGAGGTAGAAATGGAGCGTCCTTTCTTTCAAATCATAGACTGGAAGGAGATCAGGTTCTGTAAGTGAATACATGCTGGGTTGTGTGGCTAGCTTTATTTGTTGTCAAATTGTGAACTTGCATGATGCAAAAAAATATAAAATCACCTTTTCGTCTATCATCTTCGTCAAAAACCGCGCTAAGGCTCTCTCATGAGGGCCATCTGAAAGCAGGGGATTTTGGGGCCAAGTCTCATCAATGGGTTTCCCATTGTGAACAGGCACTGGGATCTTTTTGTGAACTGGGTTATATTGTAAAAGCAAATCACTCTTGTTAGCCAAGTCCTCTTTTATGTATTCAAATTTCACACCCTTGAGCTGAGCCCATATCACTCCGTAACCATATGGACTAAGCCAAGTTCCAAACAGCTTCACTTCTTTCATTTCTTGAAATTTCCTTTGGAATATTAAATGGGATGTCACATTTTGACCAATTGACATGACTTTTCACGTAATTTTGAGACCTTTTGACCAATTGGTACATGACTTTTCAAGAAATTTTGAGTGTGGCCCAGAACACCAATGGTGCTCTGCCTAGAGGTCCTACGTTTTGGAGCCCGAGGCGAACATCCTAAATGAGACTTTTTACTCTATATGTATATTTATGTGATTTTTATTTTAGGAAAGTTAAAAAATATTTTATAAACTCAAATTCACAATTGTAATATAAAAGAAACAATTAATATGTAATTTACACAATAATTTTATAAAATGCATCAAAACATCACTTAAATGTCACTCGTTTTATATTTTTCGACTCAAAAGTATCAATTAACACAATCAAGTTTTTCTACCATTGTATTTTTCAGTTTCCTAATTGATTCAACTAGATTAATTGATTTAAGCTAAGTTTTATATAAAAAAAGGTCTTCTTTTCGATCCATGAATCACAAGGCAAATACTGAATAATTTTAGATGGGTAAGAAAAATCTCAATAAAAACTTATTATTTTATGCATGGTTTGTTCTGGATTTCTTCTTGTGACATTATCACTAACTTGCATACACTTAGAGTGGCACACTTCCGAGTCTTAACAAATCCTTAAAAGTTAAACCCATGTACTTGTAGCTCAAGGGTTTAGACTGGTTGGGTATACTAGGGAATACTAGTAACATTCTTTCTAACTTTATCTTTTGGACTTTATCCATTTTCCTCATGACATGTGTTACTTTACTTACACTAAAACAATGTTATTAATGCATTAGAAAAGCTATCTTTTATTTTCCAATTTACCCTTATCTAAATTTTTTTTAAACAACTTTCTCATCACCTTGTTAAACATTAACTAAGAAAAGAACACAAAAATCAAACTTATAATCAATCCAATTTCCGTACAATTAGTCTTTTAACAGAAATTTCTTTATATATATATATAAATTAGCAGGAAACAACCTAAAAATTAATTTTAGGTGGCGGAAATGGATGAGATGGTAAAAACAATTCTTGGAACACCTACATCATTCTAGCCAATTCAATATCAACATACTTCCAAATTACAGGACTTGAAAACTAAATAGTAAATTTATATGAATTATTATTACTTGGTCAAACAAGACGGCAAATTATAATTAGTAATCTCTACCTAACCTCGACTGAGAGCCCAAGCAGGTTTGAAACTTTGAACTGTACTCAATCAGGTATATACCTATATATATATATATATATATATCACCAGAGTAAGAAGATGAACACAAACTAGACGAATATGGAGGAAGTAAAGGTACTAGGGTTCTGGACAAGTCCATATCCTCACAGGGTTATATGGGCTCTGAAACTCAAGGGTGTCAAGTATGAATATATAGAAGAAGACATATACAATAAGAGTGATTTGCTTCTTCAGAGTAACCCAGTGCATAAGAAGGTTCCAGTGTTTTTTCATGGTGGAAAAATAATTGCAGAGTCCACTGTTATTCTTGAGTACATTGAAGAGACGTGGCCTCAGAACCCTCTTCTACCAAACGACCCTTATGCAAGGGCCGCGGCTCGGTTTTGGATGAAGTTCTTAGATGACAAGGTAATCAAATTTCCCTAATCTTTTGGCTTGTTCTCCTAGATTCATTTGAAATGTTACCTTTTCACTGACTGGTTTTTTTGTGTAAGTTAGAAGCCAAACCTTCTTGCGTTCTTTAGGAAAATTGGAGATGAGCAAGCAAAAGCAGTAAAAGACGCCCAAGAAATTATGACAATCTTGGAACAGCATAGCCTTGGGGAGAACAAGTTTTTCAACGGTGACGAGATTGGAATGACAGACTTAGTCTTCGGATTGATAACATTCTGGCTTGAGGTCATGGAAGAAGCAGCTGGTGTACAAGTGCTGGAAGTGAATCGCTTCCCTCGCTTGCAGGCATGGATTAAAAATTTCAAGGAAGTTCCTGTGATTAAAGAAAATCATCCCGATAAGAGCCGCCTGTTAGCCTATATGAAAGAACGAAGGGAGGAGCATGTCAAAACAGCAACTTCTTGACATCCACATGAACCCAATAATAAGAATAAAAGTTCAAAGATAAATAAATGCAATAAGCTTATACATTGTGCTGCACGATGTTTTGCTCTCACTCATCTTCTTTGTCTGGGGTTCTGCTGTGACTGGAAGGAGATAAGGTTCTGTAAGTGAATACATGCTGGGTTGTGCGGCTAGCTTTGTTGTTGTCAAATTGTGAATTTGTATGATGTAAAAATATATAAAATCACCTTTTCGTCTATGAACTTCGTCAAAAACCGCGCTAAGGCTCTCTCATGAGGGCCATCTGAAAGCAGGGGATTTTGGGGCCAAGTCTCATCAATGGGTTTCCCATTGTGAACAGGGACTGGGATCTTTTGTGAACTGGGTTATATTGTAAAAGCAAATCACGCTTGTTAGCCAAGTCGTCTTTTATGTATTCATATTTCACACCCTTGAGCTGAGGCCATATCACTCCGTAACCATAGACTAAGCCAAGTTCCAAACAGCTTCACTTCTTCCATTTCTTGAAATTTCCTTTTGGAATATATGTCACATTTTTCTTCTTGGCCACCTTTTGACCAATTGGTACATGACTTTTCAAGAAATTTTGAGTATGGCCCAAGAACACCAATGATGCTCTGCCTAGCAAGTCCTACGTTTTGGAGTCTTAGGCGAACATTCAAAATGGGACCTTTCACTTTATATATATTTATTTATTTATGTGACTTTTTTCGGTAAGTTAAAAAGATATTTTATGAACTCAAATTCACAATTGTAACATAAAAGAAACAATCAATATGTAATTTACACAACAATTTTATAAAATGCATCAAAACATCACTTAAATGTCATTCGTTTTGTATTTTCAATTCAAAAGTATCAATTAACATAATCAAGTTTTTCTACCATTGTATTTTTCAGTTTCCTAATTGATTCAACTAGGTTAATTGATTTAAGCTAAGTTTTATATAAAAAAAAGGTCTTTATTGAGTTTCCTCTTTTTGATTTTGAATTGAGTAATCGGGCAATTTTTTTATTTTTTTATTACAATGAGTGGGCCTTTATTGAGTTTACTCTTTTTAATTTTGAATAGAATGATTAAGTAAGTTTATTTATTTATATTTACAATATAATTGGTTTGAGGGTAACATAATATTTATATAATATATATTTTAAATAATATAGGAACCTCACAATTTGAGGGCCCTAGAAAGCTGCCTTACCAGCTTGTGCCGAGGGCCTCCCCTAACTCCAATACATGAATTTCTACTTGTCAATTTTCTTGGCAAAGAAATAGAAAAGTGACAAACTTGATAGCATTATTCATTGTATATGCCGGGTCAATTAAGTAAGTTTAAATAATAAATTAAGGGAAGTTTAAATACCAAATTAACTGTTGACCTAACCACTGAACCAAAAGCTTATAAAGACAAACAAAGGTAATCCAATGGTGGGAGCAAGTTAGAAAGAAAGAAAGAAAGAACACATCTTTACAAAAATGGAAGTGAAGCTACTAGGAGCATGGCCTAGTCTCTTTTGCTAGAGTCATATGGGCTCTAAAACTAAAGGGTGTTAATTAGTATGAATATGTGGAAGAAAATCTTGTGAACAAGAGTGATCGTTTTTTACAGTACAACCCAGTTCATAAGAAGATCCCGGTGCTCGTTCATGGCGGAAAACCAATATTAGAGTGTCCACTGTTATTCTTGAACACATTGAGGAGGTTTGGCCACAGAATCCATTGCTTTCAAATGATCCTTATGAGAGGACCATGGCTCTGTTTTGGATTAAGTTTGGAGAGGATAAGGTGTGACATTTAAAGTTTTTTACATGACTTTATTTATGTTTAATTGAAATATATCACATTATTTAGCGAACAAATTTGATGCAGATTTTGCAAAATTCTAAGGCATAAGATGGAACATTTAATATAATCTTTCACGCACATATATTTGTATTTTTTTCCTTTTGGTAAATAGTCACAAAGCCATTGTAAAAACCTAGCAACGAATAAATTTAGTCTTTTAATATCATGTTTAGCAACATAAAGATTCTATTAATGTATAAGGGAAAAAAAAAGCACCAAACAAAATATTGAATTGGGCCTGGTTTCATTTGTTCATATCTGTTTCATTGGGACTTGCAATTTTTATTGCACATTTTCAATCTATTGGTGAAGAACATGAGAAGGCAACAAGGGAAGTGCAAGAAGTATTGAAAACAATAGAAGAACATGGGCTTGGGGAGGATAAGTTTTTTGGAGGAGACACAATTGGGTTGGCAGACCTGACATTTGGATGAATGGCTGTTTGTCTAGGAGAGATGGAAGAAGCAGCTGGTGTCAAGTTGCTAGAGCCTAACATGTTTCCTCACTTGCAGACTTGGATAAAAAACTTCAGAGATGTCCCTGTGATCAAAGAGAACCTTCCTGAACATGATGGACTGCTGGCCTATTTCAAATCCCTAAGAGAGAAGTTCACTGCCACAACAATATCATAGATACAAGTCATTCTATGGTGAGGGTCTTATGTAAGGCCCTAAAATGGGGTCTTATTTCTTAATTGTTTAACTAATCAATTTGATTCAACAGTTGAGAAATAAGCCTTAGTTAAGGCCCTCACTATAGAATTCTACCATCAGACATATGATTCTAGGATTCGGCAATGGGCCGGCTCGCTCATAACCATGAGTTTTGACCCTTTATTTTCAATCCACGGATCACAAGGCAAATGATGATTAAAGGGGTATCACTAATAGAAGTTATAGAATCCCAATAACAACTTACTATTTTATGCATGGTTTGGTCTTGATTTGTTCTTGTGACATTATCACTTACGTACATATACTTTAGATGCACACTTCCGGGTCTTAACAAAAGTTGAGAGACACCCTACAATGGTGGGTTCAGAATTCAAAAGTTGGCCGGGTGAAACTTATATTAAAAACTCGATGGTACAATTGAATTTCATTCATAAACATAAAAAAAATATACATAGTCAATAAACGTAATGAGCATTACCCTTAAATGCATCTTTATATATAAATAAAAGCTTATATAAAAGCAAAAACAACAAAATGTAAATGCAATGCAACACACAAATAAACCAAGGATATCATACTTTATAAAGTAAGGATATCATACTTTATAAAGTGTCAGATGAAAAAACCAATTTCGCCACGAATCCTTCAAACCATGTACTTGTAGCTCAAGCAGGTAACCAAGTTGGCTGGTTGGGTATAAATACATCTAGAAACCCAGAGCACAACATAACAAAAATGGCAGAAGTGAAATTACTAGGAGCTTGGCCTAGTCCATATGTTTACAGGGTTATATGGGCACTAAAACTCAAGGGTGTGGAATATGAGTATGTAGAAGAGGATGTGTTATTCAACAAGAGTGATCAGCTTCTGAAGTATAATCCAGTGCATAAGAAAGTTCCTGTGCTTGTTCATGATGGGAAACCAATTGCAGAGTCCATTGTCATTCTTGAGTACATTGAAGAGGCATGGCCACACAACCCCCTGCTTCCAAAAGACCTTCACCAAAGAGCCGAAGCTCGGTTCTGGGCGAAGTTTGGAGAGGACAAGGTAATCAATCACTCTCAACAGTTTGACACATTATGTTGTCAAAATAATTGAATCCATGAATGAATTTTTATATGAATATTTAAATATATATGTTTGACTATCGACTATCTAACAACATAGCATGTTTATACATGAACGCGAACTAACTCATTTGTTTTGTGTAACGCAGAACCGAGCTTTTTTGGGCTTCTTTTTTGTGACTGGAGAAGACCAAGTGAAAGCAATCAAAGAAGCGCAGGAAAGTCTTGGAATCTTGGAAGAGCATGGCCTGGGAAACAAGAAGTTCTTCGGCGGCGACGAGATTGGATTGGCCGATTTGGCATTCGGGTGGATAGCTTGGTGGCTGGAAGTCCTGGCGGAAGCAGCTGGGGTTAAGGTGCTGGAAGCTGACAGCTTTCCTCGCTTGAAGGCATGGATGCAAAGCTTCAAGGAGCTTCCCACAATCAAAGAGAGCCTTCCAGATCGCAGTGCAATGTTGACCTACTTCAAAGGCCGAAGAGCAACATTTGTTGCTTCTGCAGCAGATGCATAAACAAAACAAGCTAGTACCTGCTGGTGTAGGATTTGTTATATAATGGCATGCCTTCATGTTATATTAGTTGATGTACTGTTGTTTCCGTATTTTACTTAATTAATAATCACCAATAAAAAAGAGCTCGGTCAATTTTACATGTCTCCACTTTCTGAATTTTTTTTTCCTTTTCACTTACTGTTGACCTTCTCGGCCTTATACTTGAGCACCATCATTGTAATCGTCCATTTAAATATATCAATACTTACTAGAGAGATACATCAGATAATATAAAAAATCTTAATCCTTTGAACAAATCGGAGGAAAGTTATCAAACTTATAAGTCGCATCATACATTATATGAATAATAATGAAAAGTCACCCACCCTAAAGAAGTTTTGAAAATTACAGGATTTGAAGACTAAGTAGTAAATTTATATGAATTATTACTACTTGGTCAAACAATACGGCAAATTATAATTAGTAATCTCCACCTAACATATCTTGGAGCCCAAGCAGGTTTGAATTGCACTCAATCAGGTACATATATATATATATACCCACCAGAGTAAGAAGATGAACACAAACTAAATCAATATGGAGGAAGTCAAGGTACTAGGGTTCTGGGCAAGTCCATATGCTTACAGAGTTATATGGGCTCTGAAACTCAAGGGTGTCGAATATGAATATATAGAAGAAGACATATTCAATAAGAGTGATTTGCTTCTTCACTGTAACCCAGTGCATAAGAAGGTTCCAGTGTTTTTTCATGGTGAAAAAACAATTGCAGAGTCCACTGTTATTCTTGAGTACATCGAAGAGACGTGGCCTCAGAACCCTCTGCTACCAAATGACCCTTTTGCAAGGGCCATGGCTCGGTTTTGGACCAAGTTCGGAGATGACAAGGTAATCAAATCTCCCTAATCTTTTGGCTTGTTCTCCTCGATTCATATGAAATGTTACCTTTTCACTGACTGGTTCTCTTGTGTAAGTTAGAGGCAAAACTTTTTGGAATTCTATAAAACAACTGGAGATGAGCAAGCAAAAGCAGCAAAAGAGGCCCAAGAACTTCTGACAATCTTAGAACAGCATGGCCTTGGGGAGAAAAAGTTTTTCGATGGCAACAAGGTCGGGATGACAGACTTTGCCTTTGGATGGATAGCACTCTGGCTTGAGGCCATCGAAGAAGCAGCTGGTGTACAAGTACTGGAAGTCAATAGCTTCCCTCGCTTGCAGGCATGGATTAAAAATTTCAAGGAAGTTCCTGTGATTAAAGGAAATCATCCCGATAAGAGCCGCCTGGTAGCTTATATGAAACAACTAAGGGAGGTGTATACCAAGCCAGCAACTTCTTGATATCCAAGTCTTAATATTTCCAAGTGTACCACATGAACCCAATAAGAATAAAGGTTCAAAAATAAATAAAAGTAATAAGCTTCTACATTCCAATAAGAGAATAGTTCCAACAACATCTAGATACCTTTGAAACTCTGCATAAGCTTCACAAACCCTTCATTAACTGCCAAATCATAAAGGTTTATGAAAACGAATTAGCCTTCACAATATATTTTCTCTAATCATTGCAATTTGTCGAGGCAGAAATGGGGCGTACGTTCTTTCAACTCATAGACTGCAAGGAGACAGGTTCTGTAAGTGAATAGATGCTGGGTTGTGGGGCTAGCTTTGTGCCTTTTTAGCCTTAGCTTCTGACAGCAAAGGTTCAAGTTCACCTTTTCGGTATAGCTTCACAGTGTCTGCATATCAGGATAAAGAGCAACATTAGAATTAAAATATTTTCCCTTCGTTAAACTTCTTTTTTAATCTTTTCACTGTGTGTCACCAGAGAATTTATAACTAGCTAGCGGCGCCAACACGAAGATACACAATTTTTTATTCAGAAAGAGAAGAGTTCTTTGTACTGCGTATTTGCTTGTGTATTGAACTTTTGCGTGCACATTGGTCATGTATGTTTTTATGAGTGTTATAATCCTGTGACCCTACATGGAGTTGAACCCTAAACTTTTAACTCAACAAAGTTTTGCTAAAAAACCAGTGCTATAAAAGATAACAACATTGATGTAAGAATGTCACACCTGTACAACCACCAATGTGTTTCCCCGCTGCATGGAAAGGAACAAACATGTGAGCTTCTACTATCATTAAGGAGCCAATAAGATAAAAATTAAAGAATAATGCTATTTGGACACACAACATTGACCACCTTAACTGACCATCTTATGTGGCAACTAATGTGTCATGCCATGTCAATTAATGAATGTTGACATGAGGCCACTCACTAGGAATGCTATGGTTTTTTAATTGACATGGCGACAGTCATTAATTGACATGGCATGACACATCAGTTGCCACATAAGGTGGTCAGTTATGGTGGTCAATGTTGTGTGTCCAAATAGCATTACTCAAAATTAAAATATGACAAACTTAGAATGTACTTTGAAAACATTAGTTGGTAATATTATTCTTCAGATAGTGCCTATCAGTTAATAAAGAATTTAACTAGAGTAACATAGAAGCCTGATAATCCACTCAGCCCCTGTTGAGAAATCGTACTAAGGATAGAACTAGTATAAAGTCAAAATCTGGAAAACAGCAAACATTTTTTTCTTCTTCTAATAGCACTTTACTATATTGCCCAATCTTACATTTATAACCATTTCGATATTTAGAAGTAACAGCTTCTACAGTAATAAAGTTAAACAGTGTTGGTCGTATGTCTCACACCTTTACACTGTTGACCATTAACAGGGAGCAAGGGACAGAGAAATAAAATCACATTTTCAAGAAATTACTCCAAGAGATCTCCAAACTGTTAAAGAATCCAAGAAGTTTCATTTCTATTCCAGCATTTCTCAGTAACAAACAAAAAAGTGAAAAGAAAAAAGACAAAAGAGAGTTCAGGGGTTTCTTTAGTCTTTACTTACTTTCGTATGCAGCCTTGGAGGGTGAGATTGAGTGTTTGAAAAAACATGAAGAAGGGAATATAACCTTGAGATTGAGTTTGGAGAAAAGAATGAAAAACAGGAACATTTGTGTTTGAGAAGAGAATGGAAAAAAGGATTAAGCAAGTCACCTTTTGGTTAACTTTTCAAACTTTTAATAAAATAAAATAAAAAACTACCCCAAAACCACATATGTATAATATCTAGACTTGATTTTAGATTTGGCGGTGAAGACAAACAATTTGTTGATCAAAGAGTATGTTATTTATCAACAACGGATACTTCCCGTATATACTTATTGAATTTATTGTTGCACTTATCAAATGACACACTCAATGAACTACAGTTCCTAACGAGTATCAAGGACAATTGAATTTGTATAAAAATTGCAATAAACATTATGTTGAGATACTATATAGAAGAAATACTTGTACTAAGCTACCCAGAGCTGTGGCCTAGGGTAGCCTAAACGGGCGTCTGCCCTTGGATCCATCATGTATATATTAATGCAGGTCTCGTCATTTGAGCAGAGAAAAACATAATTGAGATGGTTTAGGTTAACCACTAAGAATCACAAAGAGTGCTTCTTACCAATAAAAACATTCGGGACAGTATGCTGTCCTGTAAGCCTCTCCAATACCTTTTGCAGCTGTGGCCCTTGGGGACCTGAAAGAGAGAAATGGCTTTCGAATTTAAGCATAATTCGATCAAGTCTAAAGACAAAAGTGATAAAACAGAGTAGGAATCAAACAATGCTTCTCAACATTCAAACTAAGCCAAACAGAAACATACCCTATCAAATTAGGGAGAAAACAAAAAACCTATGAATTTTGTGTACAAAAGCACACTTCTTTTCTTAATTCTAGAAACATATTATCTCGAACATTGCACAAGCTAGAAACTTTCTGTTTCATAAGGTGAATGGGGCACAGAAAACTGAGGCTAAATTATCAAATTACATTAAATCTAAAAGGACATAACTGCACACTCGAGAATTCAAGCAAGCAAAGACTTAGAACGCATTTTCATCCATCAAGCACCTAAACTGAAATTTGATAACAAAAACAAAGTTGCATATTGTTGGCATTTTATGGAGAGCAAGAAAACATACCAAGTTCATCCAATTCAATGACCATCGGCTCCACACCAAGCCTTTTGAACAACGATTTCACCTCAGAGGAGTACCTTCAACCCAATTTCCAACAAACCCATTTCAAATTTCTCAAAAAGAAACCAAATTGACAAAACAATCAACATGAAAATTGAAAATTTACGAAACCCAATAGTAATGGGGATTTGATGAGATGTATGTACTCACGAACACCACGTTTTGGAATAGACAACAACTGGGTTCTCATCCACCGTCTTCTTCACGCTCTCTTCGAGCCGAGAACCGAAAGAGGAAGCCATGGCCTTAACAGAGAAGGATCTCCATCTTCTTGAGCCATTGATGCTGAAAAGGCTTATGCTTGAGCTGCCTCTTGGGCTGCAATTGTTGCTCAAAGGAGCAGAGCAAATGGAGGACTTGTTTGTAGAAGAAAGAATGCGAGCAGAATTTAGAGAAACAGATGTGAAATTGGTGAGGTTATACGAGACTGCCATTGTTGCTGTCTCGCTTCAGCTTTCTTGGAGCTTTTTGTTGGGCAAATCCCTTGCCTTGCTTGCTTGATTCTCCTTCCTTTTTGGCTTTTTCTTGTTTGGGGTTTTGACTATTAGTTTTCAGGTTCTTTGAGATTCACTGACAGATGAAGAGTGAAAACAGGAACTGGGTTGCGCCATTGGTTTAAGCCTTGGCAGTTGGACTACATTTGTGGAAGTTTCACAAAGCCACAGAAGCCAAGCATATCATATCCTGCAGTTGGCTATGGGCTGATGGGCCTTCAAAGATGAAAGATTGGTTTTTTTGTTGGTAAAAAAGATTGGGTTTAAGTTGTGCGTCTTGATCACAATCTGGGCCTAGTTGGCTATCATGATCAAGGATAGTTATCTTAGGCTTCCTTTTCCTAAAAAGAAGGGATACTTACTTGGGTATTTTTCAGTAAAAAGAAATCACAGATTATAATCAATGATAGTTTTTGTGTTTTACAATCCAGTATTCCTTTTCATTTTAAGCCACAGATCATAACCATTTTGGTTGTACAATGATAGCAGGTTTTGTCTCCTCAATATATATGATGAAACATGATCTCAGCTACTGCATTTCTATAGGCTCTTCAAACCAGCTGTGATATATTGTATGTTTTTGGACACAAGAGGCAACGTACCCATTTCCCACATTTCTGTTTCCCTTAATTGCAGCTTCATCAGATATACATGTATATATCTCAGGCCAAAACTTGAGTAATGATCATAGCACATTTATGAATGCTGTCTCTATGTCAGGCAAGACTTGTTGCATGCTCAGTCTCATCGCTGTCTGGTTTCAGGTTTTGGTTGCAACGGATCCATATAGACACAACCTTAATTGTGAACGGGCAGTTTATGTCCCACATTGGACAAGATAAAAGAAAAGGATGGGCTGCCAACTCAGGGTGTCAAGTAAGAGGTTACAATCTGAGTTGAAGAAGCTTGAGTTTGTCCATCCAACCTGGATATACTCATAAGAATCTTTGCTGTTTACCTCCATGCGTTTAATACATGTTTCTGAATGCTGGACTTCGATCTCTCTAAGTTAAGTGTAGTCAAAATCAAGTTTCTTGAATTATTTGTCATCTGAAGAATAGATAAACTTGGAGGAGTCTCCATTGATAATGTCAAGAATAATTTTGATATAACCATAGTAGTTTGGGTTGATTAAAGCAAATGATATAAGAAGAATTAGGGCTCGTTTGGGAGTGATTCTAGATAGGTCAATATCCATCATCACTCTCAAATGAGAACTCAAAATCGCTTACTTAAAGTGATTATATGGAGAAACACGTGGGAGGTGCTTCTCCCTATAATTGATTTTGGCCCTCCCAAAATCACTTCCAAAATGCCTTAGTATGAAATATCCGAATTGAATTAAAAGAAAAGTTTGTTGTGATTGTGGGAAAGGAAATCATGAGATGAACGAAATATGGAAGGGTATCTGTCTGAGTATGTGACGGCATCTTTCAAACACAACGTACCATCCAGCAAACGATTGCACCAGTCAATTCAATTGTACTTAAAAAGAGTACTAAAACAGTTGATGCAGCTGGACACAGACACTGCAGCTTAATTTTCTACCTGTTCATAGTTGATACTGATTTATCAGAAAGCTTATAGCCCAAACGAAGTGTTGCATTTCTTGTGATACTTCTTTTACTTTAGGATGCAGATCCTACGGATGATCCTTTTAGGTCCACCAACTCAGCCTGCAATAGACACAACATGTGAAGGAACAAATTCTGATTTTACAAGCTCCATTGATTTGTGCAAGCAGGAGAAAAATGGGCCCTTGGCCCCTTCAAGTGATGGGACTGTGGCAATGAAGAAATGTGGCCATCCCATGTGTTATTTTAGTGTTACTGGCAGAAAATGTCTCTTGGCAGAAGAACAGAGAGAAGAAGACAAAAAACTGGAGCTGTTATCCGCAGTCAGGTTTTTGAGGAAAGCTCAGTTGCTGGTGAGTTTAGGTTGTGGTGGTGGAAAAGCATTGAATCAGTTGCATTCAATGGGGTGGTATAAGTAAGAACTAAATAAGGCACATGGATATCTAATTCCAAAGAAGTTTGTTGTCCCCTCCATGTAGATTGATTCATTCACATTTAATGAGGTTGGCATTTCTCTTGGCCAGAATGATGAAGCATGGAATGAGTAGGAACTAAATAAGGCGTGAGAATGTGATAGTTGGATACCTATTTCACTGAAAACAAACTATATGTGTGTGGCTGCTGATACAAAGTTTTTTTTTGTGGATGAAAGGAACTTGAGTAGTTTTCTCAAGTCTAGAAAAGTATTTTGTGCCGGTTTTCCTTTATAACTTCTTAGTCACAATCACACTTAAATGACCTAATAATCTCCTAATCTGCTGCCTAAACACCACCGGCATATCTGTTCAGCTTGCTTTACTTTCTGCTAATAGAATTATATGCATCATGCCCCTTTGCCTTTTTCTCCATGATGAGCAATTTAAAATTGTCATTGGCACAGTTGCAAGAAGGTCTTGAGCTCCTTTACATAATCAAATGTGTTAAACAATTGATTATTACATAACATTACAAAATCAGTTCAAAAGTTTTGAAGTGTATGCATTCCTCTCTAGATACCCTTTACAGAGAAGATTTAACTGTAATTTTCATGGAGGGCTTTGTGGCTCTATCCATGTGCAAGGCAACAGAAGCTTAAAGATTGATATTTTATTTGATCATATAATTAAGTTGGTCAACCTCAAGATAATAGTATTAAAGACTGGTGATGCATAGACATATTGGAATTTGGCTAATTCCCAAGGGAGAGAAAACAAGGTGGTGGGTATGGCGGAGTTGAGTTGCACTGTCCTAGATGGGTCCTACCCATCTGATGATATAGATGCTTATGGCAAGTTGACAATCTGAAACATTGAATTAGTGGACTGCCCTTTTCTTTAATGGGTTTTGGGAAACATGGTGTAAGCTTAAGCAGTATTGTTCTTAGAGCTATATTACTTCAAGTAGCTCTTAGATAACAATGAGGAACCTTTGCACATGAAAATCCCTCTAAAATTAATGCAAGAGGGAGAGAAAGTGGGGAAGGAACTTGTTAATTTAACACTTGAACTTAAATCTTTTCTTTTCTCCTTTGAACTTAAACCATGGAGATTCTTAATTATACTTAAATTTAAAGAGTATGTGCTAAATGGGGATTTTTTGATCTTTGAAGCAAATTAATCGGGCTTTTGTGAAAAGTTGTTGGTACGTCGGATAGAAGGGTTAGTCGGACAGTTTGCGAGAATAATAAAACCGAAATTTAATTGGAAACCCTGTCATTTAACTTGTTCATTGGATTAATATGATACAAAAAAAAACCTGTATGGAACTTCAGAAAAAATAAAATGTGAAGAAGAAGCCTCATCATCCTCAGTTTACAAAATGGCCAAACATTTTCAAAACTTGGGCCTTTGGAGAGGGCTCTGTGTCTATGTGCTTTCCTGTTTGTTTCTTTCCTTTTTTTTTTTTTTTTTTGTATTTTTTTTTTTTTTTTTTTTTTTTTTTTTTTTTTTACCCTGCAGTGAGTAATTAACAAACCCAACTAAACACTGAAGTCAATGGACGGTCAATCTGAATGAATGGGCATATTTAGAACTGGGAAATGCATCTTCTATGGCAAGCTGTGGTTCTCTTTTTATCTGCTTGGTTTCTCCTTTCCAGACCTTGCCAATATCTTGTGCAATTCTCATGGCATCAGATGATGCACCAGAGAGCCCTCTCCTTGTGAACCCAACTGCATAGAGCCCAGCATTTCCTTTCCAGCCATGTGGGAATGGCTGCTTTGGGAATCCATTCTTGGAGAAGAAATCACCTTCCTGTTAACATAATAGCAAAAAATAGATTAGACTCTAAACAAAAATACCAAACAATATTCTATACAATAAATTTTAATCGCTTATACAACCGGTGTATACAGTGTGCCTCTCACAATTACAGGTCAGGTGACAAGTACATGAGAGGCCCCGTCTGTATACAACGGTTGTTGGGAAGGATTTTCTCCAAAAGTAACAGAGGATTTTCATTTTGTAACATGTCCTCACCTGAAGCCAAGTAGGGACATTGCTGCGGTAGCCAGTAGCTAGAACAACTGAATCAATATCAAGCCTTTCGCCATTGACAAGCTCAACTTGGCCACTTGAGAACCTCTTGATTCCAGGAACCACTTTAATACCACCAGACTTAATTTTATCCAGCGCTCCAATGTCCAAAACAGGGGTCTTCCCCTCCATGTTCTTGAGCTCCATTGGTCCCACAGAAGGCCTGTTCAGTCCATATTTCTCAATGCTTCCCAAGATCAACCATGAGAACAGTAAGAGGAGCTTGTCAGCCAACCAAATGGGCAGCCATTTCAGCAACAGAACCGCCAATTCGAATGTCGATTTTCCAAACATTTCTCTAGGCAAGACATGAACCTGTACAGCAAATACAGAGCAAAACTTATCAGAACCCCATAAAAGATTAAAACCCATCAAGAGAAATGAGCTAAGAAGTTGTATTATATCAAACACTTACCGAGCTTCTAACCACCATTGATGGCAAGGCATTGTGGTTGCAGAGGTCAAGAGAGAGTTCCATGCCTGAATTTCCACAGCCAACAACAAGGACTTTCTTTCCTCTGAAACTTTCTCCAGACTTGTACTCACAAGCGTGCACAACTTTGCCTCCAAACTCCGACAAGCCATCGAATTCCGGCACGACACACTCTGCATTTTCGCCGGTGGCCACTATGAGCCACCTGCAAATGTACTCCACCTCGGACCGGGTCGACTCGGTTGAGGTAACGGTCTTCACCCGCCAGAAACCACTTGTCTCATCGTACCTTGCGGACTGGACGCAAGAATTGAACTTTGGGTTGATCTCGAAGTGTTTGGCGTATGATTCAAGGTAGTCAATGAATTGTTTCTTTGTTGGGTACTCAGGGAAGTCTTCAGGGAATGGAAGCTTGGGGAGTTGGCAAAATGCCTTGGGAAGGTGAAGCTTAAGCCTGTCATAGGTGCGTTTTTGCCATAGGGATGCTATGCATTCAGCTCTTTCAAGCACCACAAAGGGCACTCCTTGGTCTCTGAGGCAAGCCGCCGTTGCTAGTCCTGATGGTCCGGCCCCAACTATGACCGGGCCATTGACCATGATACAACGGCGAGCGAAAGAATCTTTATAATCCACTAGACGAAACACGTTTTCCATGTTGATAATCGAAGAAGTAGACTTTAAAAGTGTGAGTTTTTTGTTTGTTTGTGGGAGAGTAATGGGATTGAAGCACAAAACAATTTGGGATTGTTTTGGAAGTGATTGTTGTTGCAATAGATCAAAGATCTATGAGAAGGTTTTGGTTGTTGATGTTTTTTTGAAGTGTTCGCAAATGAAGAACTTTGTTGAGAGAATAGTGAGTTTGGTTTGGAAGGGGAGAGGGTGCTTAAATAGATGAGAGAGGCGCATGTGATAGGAGTGTGGGGAGTTAAATGCCTATGAGAGTTCACTTCCAAATCATAAGCTCTGGGCTGCCTTTTGCTTTATTTTATTATTATTTTTTAAATTATTTTATTTTAATAATCACACAATATTTTCTCAACATTATATTATTAGATCTTATTTTTGCAATTATTTTATTCGATTATTCTTTTCTTGGAAAGTTTTCATCAAGATGAAGCCCACTTTTTTTTGTTTGAGGAATTGATTGTTGTTGTGTGTGAAATAAGAGAGGGGAGGAATATGCTTCAATCACCCAAGGGGGAATGCATTTATATAAGGAAAATATTTCCCTCCTTATCAAGTAAGTAGTATCTCTTACATTCTTGCCAATAGCAATGTGACATGTGTGCAAAAGTTTTTCTTTTTGTATTTTTTATGAATTATTTTTGTATATGTGTCAAATTGTGATTCGCAGGAAAGATGAGTATCTCCTTACCAATAAAGAGGCAAGTAGTATCCTTTATATAATTAAGGAGATTAATATCACAAATCAATATGATATCAATCACATTCTCCATTTAAATTCAACCATGCAAAAGTCTTCGAATTATAGATGAGTCGCATTAAAATAAAATTGGAATTATAGATATCAAAATAATGCAATTGTGAGTATTTATTCATAATTCATCGTATATATACACAAAATTCTGAGAGAGAAAAAGGGACATGTCATCCTCAACTGATTTAATTTGGCCCACAATTGAAAAATGAAAAGAGGAAAAAAAAAATCTTAAGAAGTCATGCCTACGTGGCAGGATGCTGACTAGGAGGCATGCCCACGCGGAGTGGAGAAGCCAACTTGCTGCTGGGGGGGGCTCACTTGAGGAAACTCACTGGACCCCCTCCGCCCCTCCAAGTTTCTGTGCATTGGGATCGCGACTGTAAAGCTGTGTTCGGCCCACAAAGCCCATCCCGCCAACAGTCTCCTCCACACCACGCTAGCGCCTTCCCTGGCCCCACTTTTGTCCAACTCATTTGTTAGCTATGCTCTATGATATTATTTGCTTTCCTTTTTCTTTTTAAATACAAACGACAAATGATAGTTTAAACTACAATTGAGAAAGAAGTTTCTTCCAAACACACTACGAAGGTGTCATTGGAATTCAAACCTAAGACTACTAGTCTACAAGTTAAAGCCCTTTTTCACCAGATTAGATTCTATAGGCTTTTTCTTTTTCTTTTACTAATGAAGTAAGTGATGATACATTTGTCCAATTTAGTACCAGAGACACCAACTTATCAATTTATTTTTGAATGCAAATGATGTCGTTGTTTTCATTTGTTCATGTTTGAGTACACCCTTTTATTTATTATAAATAAATAAATTGTCACGTCAATTGGCTAATAATCAAAAATTGGGAAGTATTTTATGGCTCTCCAGTGTTCATGTATATATTCTAATGATCATTTGTTCTAGTGACATTCAACTTTTACTTTATAAGAGAAAATTATGAATTCAAATATATCATGAACGAAATTGTTATTAAATAAATAAAAAGGGCAATGATTTCCTCACTCCTATTTTATCCACTTACACACCTTTTTTAGTTATAAAAAAGGAGTGTAAGTGGATAAAATAGGAGAAAAAGTAGTGGGGAAATCACCACTCAATAAAAATTGTCATAATACATTCTTTGTTCTCTAACTTCTACTTCCTCATTTCTACTTGATTTATTTTCCTTGTTCATTAACTTCCATTTCTACATTGGTTTGTATCGTTACAACCAAAAAAAGAAGAGACCCTAATTTTGGGATTTTCTTTTGCACTTGGTTATATCAAACATCTAAACTAAAAATGCTTGAAAAATAACTATTGTTTAGTAATTGCATATGTTAAATACAAATGAAAAAGCTTGTTTTCACTAGCAATGCATACAATTTGAGAATAAGATGTTCGCATATCATACCATATTGGTTTTTTATTTTATTTTTTATAATAAGTTTTGAAATTATACATTTAGGGTTTATTTGATAGAGAGGATTAGATTATACTAGATTAGTAAAATGCCTATATTTCATGTGCATTCAAGGATAATATATGGATATGTTGCCTAACTTAGAGGAAGAATATGGACTATCTGTAAGAGTTTGATGACTAAAATTTATCCCGCCTAATCTCCTTGAAAATAGTGGGAGATAAGTTTTAGTCATCAACCTCTTATGAATAGTCCTCCTTCATCTTCAAAATTAGACAACAATATCAATATTATGTTTTGATTGACTCTACTACCTTATACCGGTGAAACCTTCCCACAAATTAGTTTAAAAAATTGAGTTGTAACCTACTTTTATAGGTAGAAAGCGCACTCACACCTATCTCATATAAAAAATAGTTACTTTCTCTAACACCTTTGGGAAATTAAATCCAATGCTTGCCAAATAAAATGAACCACGATGTTCTAGCCAGCTAGCCTTAAAGATTGCATGAATCTAGCTAGCTACATTTTACTATGTTATTTGATAAAACCTAGAGGCTTGTTCATGGTACGGGGAAGGGTGGGAAATTCATTTCCTGTTCTACTTTCGGTATCAATTGATTGAATAGAACCCATGTTGACACGCGTCCCCTGGCTAAAGCTAAGCTAGAAAGTGAATTCTGAGAGGTTTTCTAATGAAGTTGATTATGGCGGTGATTATACCTAGGTTTGCCTTTTAGGGTTTTGTATAATAACCTTATAACTTGTGCGAGATGGGTTAGCTAGGGCCTGTCAAAGTACAACTTTGTGGCTAGTTTTGAGTTGGAAAATCATTGGTCTGCCCCACAGCCACCCACCCCCACTTGTAGCTCTGAGTATGAAATATATATATATTCATAGGGAGAGGAGAGGGAAGCATGTGCATGAAGCCTTGAATTCCATGAGAGTCTCTCCTTTTCATGAAAGGTTTTGGAGATATAAGCTTGGCACTTCTGAGAATTTACATATTAAATTGGTTTTGAAATGATTATTTTCATCATCACCATCAACAATATCTGAATAGCTGCTTTGCATGCTCGCTTTACCTCTAGGGAAACACTTTCGTGGAAAGAGAGGATAGTATTGTTTTGTTATTTTCGATTAATTATAGTATGTTAAGTATGATAGTTTTTTCACTTGGTATACTATAATTGGCCGGGCCATTTCACACAAGTTTTTTTGTGACCTCCAAATCCAATATATGGGATGGTATTTAAAAACGGAAAAATAAAAAATACTTAGCTTTTTACATGTAAAGAGTCATTTTTTTTCTTTCAAATAAATCACAATTGGACATGTATACATAACCCTATAATATTAGCGAGTTATTTTTAAGGAAGAAATATTTAGCTTCTTTACTTGTAAGGAGTCATTCTTTCTTGTAGATAAATCACAATATACGTAAGCTTTTTCTTTTGTATTTTTAGTGAGTTATTTATGCATATATATCAAACTGATTTATAAACGACTTTTTACGTATAAGGAGCCAAATAGTATCCAAAAAAACAAAGCTCCAAATGCAACATACAAAGGTGATAGATATCCCATGCATGATATGATAGGGATATGTGTTTTTTTGTTATCCCTATGGCTTGTATATTCTACCAGCCTTGCAATGCTCCACTGCCAGTCTGCCAGCTTGGTGGCTCATAATCTTATTAGGGATGCTTTCCACTTTTAGGATGGGGATTTATTGTTTTCTAGCTTCTCTTTTCTTTTTCTCTTCTTTCATAGCGAGATCCCAGGGCTTTCTTCCATCGATGTATGCATGCATGCTTTTAGTTCTCTGTGTCTCTGGTCGGCGGGAACTTGCTAAGAAGCAAGCAATCAAGCTCATTTAATTAACATTGTGTATTGGGAAGAATATTCATCTTTTTAAGTCTTGATTAATTAATTAATTATGGAAAAGTAGTTTTGTTTTTTTAAATAACGATAATGAGTTCCGGTCACGCGTAAGGAAAAGCACTTCCAAGAAAAGCGAAATTCATTAGGATATCACTGGCTTTCCTAGTTGTTGTTGTTTATATATATATATATGCTAGCTAGCCTTGCTAGAAGCTCAGTTGCCAACTGAATTCTTCTCACCAAGCAGAAAGCTAACTCTATATATATCTTGGGGGATGGGAATGGCGGTGCCACAAGTGGTGGGCATGATACGTTTGGATTATATAGGTAGCTGCTACATAAATTTAACATGCAAAACAGATTAATTGGCTAAGGGTAAATGTTAGAGATCAAGGTTGCCTCATCACTTCCACATATACACATCTAGAAAGTAGAGCAAATTTAAAAACAAACTGATAATAATCTTCACTCCAATAATCTAGATGCTCTTATGTTGATTTTATTAATATTTATAAGATTTAGCGAGGGATAAAAATGAAGAGAGATTGCATATATACGATGTGTTTGAAAAATGAAAAAACGATAGTATTTTATTAATAAGATAAACAAAAACAAGTACAAAACAACTAAGGTGCCGAATATGAATACAACTTCTTCGGTAACCAAAAACAATAACAAGTTGAATTGATTTAAAGAGAATTAATACGCACAAATTTCCTTAAATAAGATTATAACGGTCCTTTTTTTTTTTCTCCTCATCATCTTCTACATAGTTTGAGTAGTCTGAGAACATGCCTTTACACTACTTTCTTGGTCAACCAAAGCGACGGATTATATATAGAATTTCAATTTGGTATGAAAGGGAGTATATGATAAATTTAAAATGTATGGTTAGGTCCAATCCATGATTAAGAA